CAATGGCTCTGTCCATCAACCAGAATGCCTGGAGCAACCCTGCCATGGCTTCATTTGAAGGAACAGGAATTGATGTGTCCTGTGGGGTACACGAAGTACATGATACTAGGCAGGCTTGTCACGCCTTAGCATGAGTTCTCCCTTTTAACAAACCCCCCCTCCCCCCATTCCACCCAACCTGCTGCTGGTAAAATACCAGCAGCTCTGGTACATTGCCCTGAAGTAGTCATTAATTGATCACTAGGGCCAGAGTTGGCGTATGTGTGGGAAAGCTGACTTTGACCTTCCCCATCCCTGACTGAATCTAAAGGAACTAAGACAGAATCACCTGTTGCATCCAGGATAGCAGTATTTACAAGCAGCCCTGGCTGTTCACTTCTCAAATGCATTCATCTTGTATCAGTAATGATTTGAGTTCTCCTCACTGCCACACAGTATTTCTTATGCAACCCCCGCCCCCACCATTCCCTGTTTTTGTCGGATACTGAGGAGGTTACTATATTGTGAAGGGCTGGAGTCAAGGCATTGTAGTACCCCACTTGTCACTGCTTTCTGCTCTGAAATGACCTGTTTATACTTGCTAATTAATTTTCAATTCATACTAGTACATTATCATCAATCCCGTGTGCTTTAATTTTGTATAATAACTTATGTGGACCTTTGTCAAAAGCTTTCTGAAAATCCAAGTAAACCTCATCTACTGTTTCTCCCTCATCCATTCTACTAGATGCTTCCTTAAAAACTCCAGGTTTGTCAAACTATTTCCCTTTTGTGAAAGTCATGTTGACTTTGTCTGATCTTGCTGTTAATTTCTAAGTGTCCTGTTATCGTATATTTTATCAAAGACTGTAGCATTTTACCTATTAAGAGCAACAAAGAACAATACAACAAAGGAACAGGCCTTTCAATCCACCAAGCCTGCGCCGATTCCTATTCCTTATTTAGACCCACTACTTATTGCCCACATGTGATTTCTACTCCTCAGACACATGAACATGAGGTGAACAATCAAGATACACCTTAAAAGTTGTTAATGTGCCTGCTTCCACCACCTCCACTCACAGTGCATTTCAGGCATCCACCACCCTCTATGTGAAAACATTTCCCTGCACTTCACCCCTATACTTTCCCCCTCTCCCCTTGAACCTGTGTCCTCTTGTAGTTGATCTTTCCACCCTGGGAAAAAGCCTCTGACTATCTACCCCATCTATGCCTCTCATAATTTTGGAGACCTCTTTCGGGTTGCCCCTCAGCTTTTGTCTTTCCAGCAAAAATAATCAGAGTTTATCCAACCTCTCGTCATCACTAAAACCCTCCAGACCAGGCAACATCCTGGCAAACCTTCTCTGCATCCTCTCCAAAGCATCCATGTTCTTCTGGTAGTGTGGCGACCAGAACTACATGCAATATTCCAAATGTGGCCCAACTAAAATTTTAAACAGCTGTAGCATAAGTTGCCAACTTTTATATTTAATGCCCTGGCTGATGAAGGCAAGCGTTCTATATGCCTTCTTGACCACCAAGTCTACCTGTGTTGCCATTTTCACAGATCTGTATTTCAATGTGCCTAAGGGTTCTCCTATTATTGTATAATTGGCACCTGAATTTGATCTTCCAAAATGCGTCACCTCACATTTGTCTGGATTAAACTCAATTTGCCATTTCTCTGCCTAAATCTGCAAGTTATCTATATCCTGCTGTAATCTTTGACAATCCTCTTCAGTATCTGCAACTCCGCCAATTTTGGTGTCATCTGCAAACTTACAAATCAGACAACCTGAAATTTCCTCCAGATCATGTGTGTATATATTACAAACAACAAATGTCCCAGCACTGATCTCTGTGGAAGTTACTGATCTCCATTTCAAAAAACACCCTTCCACCACTCCTGTCTTCTGTGACTAAGCCAGTTCTGTATCCATCTAGCCAGCACATTCTGGATCCCATGAAACTCTACCTTTTGTATCAGACTGTCATTAGGTACCTTATCAAATAACTTACTAAAGTCCATGTAGACAACATTCACTGCCCTTCCTTCATCAATCATTCTTGTCACCTCCTCAGAAAAACTCAATCAAGTTGGTGAGACATGACGTTTCCCGCACAAACCCATGCTGCCCACCACTAACATGTCCAATTCACTTCCTAAAGTGAATAAATTCTGTCTCTCAGTATCATCTCCAACAGCTTTCTCATCACTGATGTAAGGCTCACCAGCCTGTAATAACCTGGATTATTTCTGTTTTCCTCCTTAAAGGAATAACCTAGGCCATTCTCCAATCTTTTGGAGGCCAAAGAGAATGCCCCAGCTATTTCCTTCCTTGATTCCACAGAATCCTGGGATAGATCCCATCTGGCCCTGAGGACCTGTCTACCTTAATGCATTTCAAGATACCCAACAGTTCCTCCATCATTATGTTGACCTGCCCAAGAGTATTCACACATCTTTCCCTAACCTCAAAATCCCTCGTGTCCCTCTCCTTTGTGAATACTGATGTAAGGTACTCATTAAGGATCTCGCCCATTTTCTCTGGCTCCATACATAACCTCCTTCCTTTATCCTTGAGTGGCCCTACTGTTTCCCTAGCTACCTTTTTTTTGCTCCTAATATTTATATAAAATATCTTGGGATTCTCCTCAACGCTGCTGGCCAAGCTTATTCATGGCTCCTCTTAGCTACTTGCAAATTACAGTTACTACTTTTTAACAAATAGTGTACCCCCCGCCGCAACTAACCTACTACCTGAACTCCCTGTACCAACGAGAAGATGAACGAGCTGTTCTAACCCTTGAGAAAGGCTGAGGCACACTTACTCTATACTACAGTGAGATTCCTTCACCTTCTAATGTCTTCTCTTTTTTTAAAACTACCACAATTTAGACTAAAACTGTAACCTTTTGTTTTAGATTGCTCTGCAAAAAGAAACATCTCTCCACATCAATCCCCTTTAGCACTATATAACTCAATTAGACATGCTTTATCCTTCTAAACTCTAGCAAGTATCGGCTTAAACTGCTCAATCTTTCCTTATAAGATAAGCCTTTCATTTCTGGAATACATTCAATGCAATTACATCCACTTTCAAGTTAGGAGACCGAAACTATATGCAAAACTTTAGATGTTAATGCCCTGTGCAGTTGCAACAACACACCCCTGCTTCTATATTCCAAGTAGGATATGTATGATCAGTGCATGTGCCCATGTAAATGTTAGTGTCTGAGTTTTGTTAAAAAGTTCTTGAAGTGCTTTTGCTTTATTGGGAGATAAATAATCAAAGCACCAAGATATTTTAGTATCTGCAGCACGTTTACCAAATCATGAAAACATTGATTTAAAATTCCGATCTGGTCTCTGAGGATCCATGATATGCACAGTTGCCCACTAAGACATAACACTACTCCTCTAAAACATCAACAAATAAATATGGGCAATATTTTTTGCCTGAAGATGTTAAGTATGCCATTTTAGTATAATGATGTATTACTTTATGATACATGTCTGGGAAATATTTATAGATGGGTATAATATGGAAAATGTAGCACTGTAATTGTAAAGTGTGACTGTAGGTCTGGATCCATATCATGAAGTCTGCCATTATGTTCAGACTTATCAACACAGTTTTGTTCAGGTTTGCATTGGCTTTATTATGTCTTTCAAGAAAACAAACCATAGGGAGAAACCAAAACCAGCTGAGGTATTGGTGAGAAGCGTAAATCCTTTTCCCTATTTCTGTGTTAAATCAAAGTTGTGGAGACGAATACTGGACCTGCCTTGGAAGGTAGCAGCTGGTGAATTCTTGGCGTGCACCTGAAAGAGGAACACTTTTCTAGTTGTAACATTCCAAACAATTGTTTAACAAATGGATGGGGGGAGCCTGTGTATCTCATGCTTCTGGTGTCAAGCAGCCTGACCAGCAATCTGTAAGACTTCTTTCTCAACCTGTTAATTGGGCTGGGTTGGGAGTATGAGCAAAGGTTGTCTTGTACAAAACTCTGGTGCGGCCGCACTTGGAGTATTGCGTACAGTTCTGGTCACCGCATTATAGGAAGGATGTGGAAGCATTGGAAAGGGTGCAGAGGAGATTTACCAGGATGTTGCCTGGTATGGAGGGAAGGTCTTACGAGGAAAGGCTGAGGGACTTGAGGCTGTTTTCGTTAGAGAGAAGAAGGTTAAGAGGTGACTTAATAGAGACATACAAGATGATCAGAGGATTAGATAGGGTGGACAGTAGGAGCCTTTTTCCTCGGATGGTGGTGGCTAGCACAAGGGGACATAGCTTTAAATTGAGGGGTGATAGATATAGGACGGATGTCAGAGGTAGGTTCTTTACTCAGAGAGTAGTAAGGACGTGGAATGCCCTGCCTGCAAAAGTAGTAGACTTGCCAACTTTAAGGGCATTTAAATGGTCATTGGATAAACATATGGATGATAATGGAATAGTTTAGGTTAGATGGGCTTCAGATTGGTTTCACAGGTCGACGCAACATCGAGGGCTGAAGGGCCTGTACTGCGCTGTCATGTTCTATGTTCTATGAGCATATTGTCTGTGGACCAGGCTGAATTAAGTCGATGGCAAACAAAACTGGTAGCAAAAGTTAAGTATATGGAGATAAACACAGTGAGAAGTTGAAACACAGCAATAATGGGGGTCTGTTTGAGGGCTGAAGAGATGTTCAAAATTCAAGCATTTTCTCCAGCTTCAGCTTGATGGAACGTTGAAAACGCAATTTAGAATTTGGAAGAAGTTAATAAAAGAATTTATAGTTGTCATTTACGTATAGTCTTATTTCTGTGTAATGGGGACAGCATGATACATTACAAAAGAATTTAATTCCAAGACTACGAGATATCGAGCATAGTGAACTGTCTGTGTTTTGAAGAAAAGTTAACAGATTATTTTCAATGCTTCATAGCCTACTTTCCTTATATATTTGTTCTATACTTGATCTGTTATTGAGGCTTCCTTCACTGGTAAAACATAATTTTCATATTGATTCAGGTATTGGTGCCATGCAGAGGCAGTTTATCACAAGGCAGCCTTGCTGCTGCCCACTTTGAGTCTTACATCTTACAGCCAGTGGACGACACCGGTCTTAGTTACCGAACATTAAATGGAAAGGTAAGTGGTTCTTTTAATACACTGCACTCATTTTCCTTTCCTATTATCACTTACTTTAAATATCTTCATCCAGCATGCAAAATTTTTTTTTGCATTGACTTTATTTCTCTTGTATGCAATAAGTAACAGAAAACACACGTACGTGAAATGTACTGAGTAATAATAGAAAAAGAGTATTTCCCATGATCTGCAGTATAAATGAAGGCATGGTAGACAACAAAAGCAATTTTTAAAAAAATTTCTCTCAACCTTGTTTTCAAATCTTTCCATGGTTAATTCCACCCTTTCTTTGCGCTCTCCAGCCATACCACCCTCTATTTGTGCTTCTTTAGCATCCAAAACATCCTTTAATTTTAATTGCTTTACATTAGGTGGCTGTGCCTTCAGTTATCTAGGCATCACGCTCTAGAATACTCTGATTACATGTCTCCAGCTTTTTTTATATCTTACCTATCTCCTTTAAAATATGCTCACTAAAACTTTGATCAAGCTTCTTGTTGCCTGACTGAATATCCGCTAAAGGGGCTCAGTGTTAACTTTTTACAGTTAAGTGAAAAGTGCTATGCGATGTTGCATTATGTTAGAGATTTTATTTAAATCTATGTTGTTGAAATGGTAATTGTGTTCTGATTGTGTATGTGAATATTGTCGGTAACTTTGACGTTTCCTATTTTTCACTGTTCAAGCATCATTTTTGCACCCCCTCCTCCCGATGACCTGACCACTGTAAACAATTTGCATTACCAGGAAGTATCCATCAGAGGAAACGTTGTTAGTCTGGGTGTTGGATTTAGCTCACCGTGTGCAATAAGAATCCTTTTTGAAGAAACTTTTTACACTGAGAAAGAACAAAGTTTCAGTATCTTATGTATTGCCCGACCATTGGAAAAGGGTTCCAGTGCAGGTAAGTCAATGAGAATCTTATACTTTGTCTATTTTAAGTTCATAAATGATGCTCATATTAGAGTCATAGGGTCTGTTTCATGCTATATGACTCTTCGGTCTAACTCATCCACACTGACCAGACATCCCAATTTGACCTAGTGCCATTTGCCAGCATTTGGCCCATCTCCCTCTTAAACCAGTCCCATGCAGAAAGGCATCCAAGTAATTTACTTTCTTATCTGAAATATTGCTTACCCCTTGCTCTGTTTTTGTTTTACAGCATAAAATTATTGCTACGTTCATTTAAAAAATTGATTTTGCAAATTAATATAATTACAAATTGGTTTCAGCCATGTTGATTTGACTGAGCCAATGTACTCTCCTGATTAATAACAGTCCTGAACATTTAAAGTTTATTCTTTACATTTGATTTCGTGATATGTAAGTTGCAAGATGATAAGCAGCATAATGGGAAACAGCTTGGGTTCTGAGGCAATTCTGACAGCTGTATAATGCCACACAGACTGAACAGATTCTGAAGTAACCATTCTATAATTTGCAGTTTGGAGACAGTAACGTGCTTACCTCGGTGTTGTAGCCCGAACTTGTTCTCCAGAACAGTGTTGCTTACCTCTTGTAATAGTTCTTCCTCATTTTTGGGGATGAGTTGGTTGTAAGCTCTGAGGAGAACTTGATTGACAGAACTTTCTTGATCTCAGTGCTTCAAGTAACTGAGTTTGTGGACAACCTAGATGGGGAGGGAAGAAGATTGCCACTTTGGACACTTCAGCTCCAAGCCAGTCAGTGTGACAAAATCCAAGACCCCTTTCTTTGTGGACAGAGTCTATTAACTGCTCGGTCATACAGATTGTTTCACGAACCGGTCCTACCTGTTTTCCCCATTTTTAAATAGGTATTTTTATCAACATGTTCAGACAATTTTATGACATACCTTTGGAATGGATGGCACTTGAACCTAGGCTTTCAGGCTCAGCGGTAGGGGCACTACCACTGCACCACAAGAGCGCTTAGTGGTAGTAGTAGTGTCCCTCACTCTCAACCAAGAGGCCTGGGTTCAAGTTCCACCTGTGCCAAAGGTGTATAATTACATCACTGAACACGTTGTTTGGAAAGTATGTGAAATATTTTAACAAATAATCCTTGAACGGAATCTTAAAAATACGTAATTTCATCATCTATACTTTTTAACTGATCAGTAAGTTATTCTCCGTATATTATAGTCAACCTTCCATTTTCCTTCTTTTTCGTAGAGAGAATGTTTTTAATCTCAAGAAGATCCAAACAAGATATGTTTCTTTTCACGTTCTTATGACACTTCATTCCAGGACCTCCAATAACTTATGCATCACTTGCTTCTTTAGGTGGTTTCAAATGTGTTTCCCTTTGAAACATTTCACCATGCAAAAATGTATCTTTTTACATCAATGACTTATTTTCCCAAGAATTTAGCTAAAACAGCTAAAATCTTCAAGATCACATTTTTTTTTTTGCATTCAGGGAATCCTTTCTAAGATCTAGATCACAAATAGTCTCTTCGAAACCAAAGCCACTTGTCTGGTATATCCATTTATGTGATAAGGCTAATGTGTTCCCTAGCTGACAACTTAGTATATACACAAATTATTTCCAGCTCTTCAACTATTTTAGTTTGGCATCCTTTATCAATTTATCTAATTTTCTGTAACCACTGAACTCTCGAGATCATAAGTCTTTATACATACCACACAGTATTCCCTGTTTGATCCATAGCCCCTATTTGCTTTTTCCTATGGGGTTTGAGGGGTCATGACAGGAGGGCATAGATTGGTGATGGCTTTAGCAGATAGGTTGGCATGGAGGAAGAGCGGCCATTGGGTTGGGTACAGAAGTTTAGGTTGGTATATAGGATGTGAGGGACCATTAGGATGGGGACAGTACATTGGTGGCCTTTGGCATGAAGATTAAGAAGAGCAATAGAATGAGATCAAGAGGGATATTTTGTGCTTTATTTTTAGACTTTGAACATAGTGCCAGAATTTACATGTAAGGCCTCCATCCAGCCTGTCTGGACAAGCAGCAACTTTCTCTGCAGCTCCCAGTGCTACCTGGCTTGTCTTCCAAACCAGTTGAATGGTATAGAAGGAGATGTGCACGGGGAGAAAGCAAGAACAGAATAGAATATTACTTATTTTGAGTAGAGGGAAGCAAAAACAATAGTGATAACTTGGCTTAGAAATGGGGAATGCCAGGCTAAACCATGGTGGAGGGGGTGAACAAGTTGAATTGAGGGAGACAATAAAAATGTCAAGATAAACCAGAAGCTTTGAATGAAGAATGACTTACTGTAAAAAGCCGTGAATTGGATGTGGTACAGTTGTTGGCTTTTCTTCCCTAGATCCTGATCATTTGTAAACAAATTACTTCGATGGTATCACTGAGCAGGCTAAATATTTTAGTCTTAACAGTTGGAGGGATTTGTGGTGAATATGTCTACAACATACGTGTTCTATCAATGTGCCTCCACCCTCTGCAGTGGAAAGTCTATGTTATAGGGTTATTGTAATTAAAACACTAAATCTAAGTTCAGTGAATGCATGCTACTATTTATTTTTACATTTACTGTATGTAAAATATGCTAAAGTGTCAGCACTAAAACTATTTTTATTTTCAGATGAAAATCCATCTCCTGTAGATTCCTACTGTCTGAAAAATTTTGAGGATGCTAAAGAGTTTTTGGGTCGACAGTTATCCAAAGTTGATAAGTACATTGAGTCTTTCCGAATGTCTTTTAAGGAGCTGGAAATGAAAAGTCTGCGGCATCATATAGTTAGTAACTGTTACTTTGTGTTGCATTTCCTTGCGTGATATATGGTCTGGCTTATTTTGCAGTTAAAGTTTTAAAAAAAAAAATGTTAATTTGAGAGGTGAAGGATATGTTTTTGTTTTTCTTTCTTGCATTGGAGTAGAGAGTGTCCTTGTTGTAAGAATGCCCTATTTAAAAGCATTCTATTTGATTTTTTTTTAAATCCATTTTCTGTGCAGGCATATGTGTTTTTTTGGTAATAGTTTGTCGCGCTCTTATCTTTCTGTACTTGGCTTTCTTTTATACTTTGTTTACTGCTATGTTCTCTTCCTCTCATTGGCACCTGTGCCCCCTCTGACTCGTTGAGAATTTTAGCCTCCCCTTTGCAAACATCAGCTGGCTAAATATTTTTGAAATACAAAGAATTTGTGGTTGTACGTGGATATTGGATGTGGGTGAGAAGGGTAGAATCAACTGTGCAGAAATGGCTTGAAGCCCAAGAAAAATCGTCCTTTCGTTTAGTTGACTGAGATAATGTACAGTGGGGAAATTGGGCATATTTCCAGCTTGCATTAAACTAAACAGAAATATCTAGTTTTTACCCACTACATTCAGAACAGGCTGTTCCCTTCAAATAAGAAGAACTTTAACAAAATAATGAAGAGGGAAAATGAAAAACCACAACTGCTTTAGTTTTATTCTTAGAATGTTTTGAGTGGTATCATCCAAAATAACCATTGCTTTGATTGAGAAAGGAAGAACTTATGATACACCATTTGACTGCGAGTCATGCCAACTGACATCAGTTAATATTCAAATACCAAAACAAAATAAATAAAATTGAAATTAATGTAGAAATGCTGGAAAATATTCAGCAGGCCAGATAAAATGTTTAGAGAGATAAACAGATCTAACAGTTCACTGATAATGTTAGAACTGGAAAGCTTTAAGAGTAAACAGGTTTAAGTATGGTTGATCTTGACCTCCTCCTGAGGCCCTCAGCATCACAGATACAAGTCTTCAGCCACTTCAGTTAATTCCCCATGATATCAAAAAAATGGCTGAGGGCACTAGATGCTGCAAAGAACCATAGAGATATACAGCATAGATACAGACCCTTCAGTCCAACTTGTCCATATCGACCAGATATTCTCAATAAATCTAGTCCCATCTGCCAGCATTTGGCCCACGTTCTTCTAAACCATTCCTATTCATATACCCATCTAGATACCTTTTAAACATTGTAACTCAGTTCTCAAACTCATTGCTCTTCACAAATGCTGCTAGACCTGCTGAGCCTGTCCAGCCACTTCTGTTTTTGTTACTAACCCTACCTCCTTTGTTCACATCCAAATCATTTGTGTAAATGATGAAAAGCAGTGGACCCAGCACCAAGCATTGTGGCACACCAATGGTCACAGGCCTCCAGTCTGGAAAGCAACCCTCCACCACCACCCTCTCTACCTTCAAACCACTTCTGTATCCAAAGCTAGCTCTCCCTCTTTTTCCATGTGATCTAACCTTGCTAACTAGTCCATGTTGGGACCAAAGCTGTAGTGAAATGAGGAGCTGAAAGGTGCTGGTGGAACTTGAGTGTCAGTACGTAAGTTATTGCTCATGTATTTGGGAGCTAGTTAGCTCAGTTGGCTAGATGTCTGGTTTGCAATGCAGAATGATGCCAATAGTGTGAGTTCAATTCCTGCACCGGCTGAGGATACCATGAAGGACTGTCCTCCTCAACCACTCCCCACGCCTGAGGTGTGATGACCTTTGGTTTAAACCACCTCCATCTGTCCCTCTCTAATGAGAGAGGAGCCCTATGGTCCTCTAGGACCTTTTTATTGCTAATATATAAATGTTTAAAACTTAATCAATCATTTCAATATTTGCACCTACATCTTGGAAACTCTCTAAACTTATGCTATCAAACCAAGGGTGTGCCTCCCTCTTCATCTCTTAGCACACTGCCAATGTAATTGGGTCTGTTCCCCCTCCCCAATCTCAATGGAGTGGGAATCTTGTGTGTTCTTAACTCTACCAAACCACAACTTTGCTATTCTCATTTTCTTTTTCTTGCACCCTGTTCTTCATGATCCTCTCTGGAAAATGGCTCCATTCAAAATTGCTTTCAAAATTCAGGAAAAAATATATTGGATATCTACTCCGTTTTAAAACTGATCTAATTAAGGAATTTAGATGACTCGGAAGTGGAAACAGAGCTGAAGTAATTCAAGTATTGCATCCAAGTCTTGCACGCTTCTTCAATTACTAACTAGATTACATTATTTATGATAACTATGTAATCTTGTTTACCTTAATTTTCATCCTTCAGCTTGAAGTATTCACATTTTTCAAACTATTTATTTTGTTGGAAGAAATATCGCTATATGGAATGGCCATGGTGACAGAAGGATAGCTTTTAAATTTGCTGTACTTGCTATGATCTCGTTTGTTTTTTGCAAAGCCAACTGGTATTTTGACGTAAATCACTAGCAATATATGTGAAAGTAGAAAAAATGTTCAGGTTTACGGTATTACTGCAGAATTTATAGTAAATAACTATAGTAGCACATTACAAGGAAACTGAATACACAGCAATAATTTGACCAGAGTTTGAAGATACAACATTCTTATTTGCCTGAATGCTGTGAAAAACATTGGAAATAATCTCCGAGATGTTGAAATGTATAAATTAACTGGCCTACAAGTCAGTCTTTTGTCCTTCAGTATTGTGATTGCAGTGGAGCATTTCCTACCATTCTTTGAGCTAGATGTTGAAAAATGTATTGAACAGTACGTGCAAAGATTAAGATTACACTCTCATGGAGTAGTAGTTTAATTTGATGAATTGGATTATATGTCCCAGTGTACTGTTACTTAAAAATGACAGCATCAAATAGCTGTAATAGAGTGTAAACTTAACACTTTTTTTTTGTCATGGATTTTTCTTTTTCCAAACAGGATGAAGTTAATGCACTCTATACAAAATGTCTTCAGTACCTTCTGAGAGATTCACGATTAGTAAGTTGTTATTCTGTCTCCTCGCTCTATTGAGAATGTTTGTTTAAAAAAAACTGTATCTGTGTTGAACTGCTCATTGGCAACTGACAAGAGTATCCTTTTGTGGCTGTCTGTCCTGTATAGAAAATACTGATCAAGCAGGAGGTGCAAATGGCATTGCTGAAGCAAGCTGTTGAAGTATGTAAATGGATTCTTCATTAGTCTTTACCAAATTATGAAAATTGATTTCTAATGTTGAATAAAATGCTGAGTCTGTTATGTGTTTAAAATTAACCCTGCAGATGTATGTACTTCATGGTATCCATGATCAAATATTCAAAAGTGTGGGGACTATAGAGGCCAGTCAGGTATGACCTACTCCATTGTCTGTCTTCCTTCTGTTATTGCTGTTAACTTGATAAAGATGAAACCTTGTTGTTTCAATGCACTTTTTAAAAGCCTCTTATGTTGTTAAAATGTCTTTCAATAAACATTTTAAGGTAGAAGTGCACGGATATTTTTAACCTGAACAATATTTTTAAGTGTTAGCATTAACTGCAATTCAGGTATTAAGAATGCTACCATTCCTTACTAACTTGTGCTGCCTGGTTATTTGAAGGATGCTGCCTTTAATAAAACAACCCGAGGTTTGCAAGACCTTCAGCTAAAAGATTTGGGAATCCAGTCACAATTCAGGTTAGTTTATTGCTGCTCTAAGTGCATAGTAAAAGGCTGCAAAATCCCAGTCTCTGAACATTCTTGTGATTATTATTAAGGGTGATATATTGGCAACTTTTTGTGTTACATTTTGGTTAGCTTTATTTTTGGCTCTACTTGAATACTCAATGCAGTACAACTGATTTCTGCCTGGAAACAAAGTTGCAATTAATAGTTGTAAATTTTGTCAACTGTTGAAATATCTAGGCTGCTTTGAGCCTTGAGACCTCCGACTGAACATAGTGCAAAACAGTGAGCACCTCTTCTTTGTACCAGTTGAATAGATGTTAAGTTTTATTTTGACAGCTGTATTTCTGAAACTAAATCATCACCTTGAAATGTCAACTGTTTACTGATGCTGCCAGACCTGCTGACTGTTTCCAACACTTTCAATTTTAAGGAACAAAAACAAAGTTCTTAGTGGTCTTAGGAGTCTTGTCAGTTCCGATAGGAGAGTTGTTTACATCAAGAACGTAAGACCACTAGGAATCGTGGTGGCCCACAGGCACTGTATGGCAAGCCCTCTCAAAGATTAAAGACCCCATTCCCACAACAAGCGGAACCAACATGGTTTACAAAATACCACGCAATGACTGCCACAAACATGACATCGGACAGACAGGAAGAGAACTAGCTATCAAATACGTGAACATCAACTAGCAGCAAAATGGCACGATGAACTCTCCTTGATATCGGTACACTCGGGCAATGGAGGCCATCAGCTTAACTGGGACAAGGTAACCAAAGTAGCCCAAGCCAAACAGAGACACGCACAGGAATTTCTAGAGGCATGGTTCTCCACCTGTAATGCAATCAACAGAAACACAGAATTGGGCCTCGTATACAAACCCATATAGATCAAAACTGGAAATGACACTACCCACCATAATGGACCAAACAGTATAAATTCCAAGCGGAGTTGAAGAATGCTGCTTAATCGGAGGCTCCACCGATGATGTCACCTAGCATGGTGATGAAACGTCTGAACAAGAACAAGCCAGCTCAGCGAGCAAGTCAACAACCTCACCCGCAACCCCAGCTACAGATCTTTGCCAAAACTTTGAAATACGCCTTTTTTAGCTGGTCTGGCTTACATGTGACTTCTGACGCACAGCAGTGTAGTTGACTCTAAACTGCCCATCAGACAATAAATGCTGGCGCAGACACCGATGCCCATGTCTGACAAATGAATTCTAAAGAAAAACCTCTTAATTGTGTTCAACCAAGTCCAAGTAGGTTATCCCTTTTATGCAACAGACTTATTGAGAAATAAATATATTACCATGTGTTCCCCTGGATAGGTAGGCAATCTTGCCAACGTTTTGATCCTGACTGCCACTACAAATTGACAAGGAAAGTTGATGGTCTGACTAGTGTGAATACTGTCCTCGCTGATTCCTTATGTCATGATAGTTATCACTGTAAGCGAGAATGCCAGAAATGAGATTTTGTAGAAAACTTAAAACCATCATGTTCTATCACTTCATTCCTTCTTGTTCTTGTCCTGCTATTATCTTGTGTTGTAGCTTCAGCAGATTGTTACCCGAGTCAGTATGCCAAATGCTTGTCCTGGCTTTTGCAAACACTTCTTTGGACACCAGGCAAAAGTGAGGGATATACCACGGGTCATAGATTGTGTCACATGTACAAAACCTGGCATATATCCAGGTATGTCCTGCAGATATGCAGCAGGACTAAGGCAACCAAGCCAGTTACCAAACCCGTTCCCATAGATTGTCTACTCTGATTCATCGGCAAACCGCTGAAGGGGGTTTCTGAGAGTGCAGTCAAGCAGCATTTATTTGGCAATAACCTTCTGACTGACTGATTAGTGTTTGGGTTCTGCTGGGACCACTTCGTTTCTAACCTTATGACAGGATTTGTCCAAATGGTGACAAGAGAGTTGAACACTGGAAGTAAGGTGAGAAAAACAGCGTTGGACATCAGTGCATCATCTGACTGAGTATGGCATTGCAGAGTTCTAGCAAAACTGGAGAACATTCAAATTGGGGCAAATTCACTGGTTGGAGTCATATCTAATCTGAAGGAAGATGGTTGTCATTATTGGAGGTCAGTTGCCTAAGCTTCAGGAGTCTCTGCAGGAGTTCGTCAGGGTACTATCCTAGACTCTACCAACATCAGTTGCCTCATCAATGACATGACATTACCCCTATCATAAGGTCTCAGGTGGGAATGTTCACTGATTACACAGTGTTCAGCACCATTAATGACTGTCCAGATACTGAAGCAGTCCATGTTCAAATGCAGCAAGACCTGGGCAATATCTAGGCTTATGCAAGTAACAACTGACAAGTAACCACACTAGTGCCAGGCATTGACTGTGTCCATCAACTGAGAATCCAACCGTATCCCCGTAACATTTGGCATTACTATTGTTGAATCCTCCATTCTGTATATCCTTGCGTTACTATTGACGAGAAACCGAACTGGATCAGCCATGTAGTCACAGTATTTACAAGAGCAGGTCAAAAGACTTAGAATTCTGCTGTGAACAACTTGCCTCCTGACTCCCCAAAGCATGTCTACCATCTATAAGCTGTAAGTTAGGACTGTGATGGAAAATACTACCCCTTGACTAGCTCCAACAACTCAACACCATCCAGGACAAAGCTCTCAACTAAGTTTGCTTCAATAGCACCTGCCAACCCTACAATCTATACCATCTGGAAGGATATGGCAGTAGATACATGGGATCACCACCAACTACAAGTTTTCTTCCAAGCCCCACACCATCCTGCCTTGGAACTATGTAGTCATGCTGGAATTCCATTCCTAAAAGCACTGAAGGTGTACTTGCACCACATGGACTGCAGGAGTTCAAGAAGGCAGTTGACTGACACATCCTTCAGATCAATTTCACCACACAACAAGATGGATAACGTTTTCTGTGAGTGGGTGTTTCCTCGTTTTGCTTGTCTCACCACCCACTGTGGGACCGGATTGGAACCATACCTCTCAAGACATGACAGCTTGGTCGGTAATGATGCTACCAAGTCAGTCTTGATTTGACATTTAAATTTCCCCAACCCAATAGATTGCTGCTTGCAGATAGTGCTTGACATGGAGGAATACGCATTACCACCTACCATGTTTGAGCTGATTGATCACTGGGTGGTTTATCAGTCATGTTTCACCATGTGTCTTTTGACTTGTGGAATCCAGAGTCGATGTTGAGGATTCACTGTCATCTGAGTACTTCAAGTGGATCTGTATTGCCATTGGAGCCAGACACACCCCACAAAGTGGGAATCTTGGATTTGAGTTGTCAGTCAAATGATATAATTCGCTGAGTATGGTTTGGTCAGGCTGTTGTTTGACTTGAATTTAGGACAACCCTCCCAGAGCCCCCAGAAGTTGAAGGCCTGTATGTTTCTCTGTCATATTTTATGGGTCACCTGGATCAATACCAGGTGATCCTCCTTGTTTTGTTCTAGATTTTGTTTCTTACCAGCTTGTTCAGAGATTTTATAGCTTTGGAGTAGGTGCGTCTTGAACACAGGCCATAGGGCTCAAAAATAGGGACACTATCACTGCTGATTTTTTTGTCATATTTTGATATGTTGGTTGCTTTCTAGGCCATTTCAGAAAACAATTTAAAGTCATTGCTGAAGGTCTCGAATCAGATGTAGGCCCAGGTAACAACAGACATTTTTTTTGCAAGACACTAGTGGACCAGATGGATTTTTACAAGCCCAGTAATTTCATGATGATCCATGCAGATACCATTTTTTTTATATATAATTCCAAATTTATTTTGTCAAGCAAATTTAAATTCCCCACCTGCCAAAAGTTGGACCTTTGAACTCGCCTCTGGGTTATTAACTTATTATTTTGTCCAGTTGTCTCACTGTAATCCCGTGTGTAACTTCACCAGGTTGTCCCCTGATTTGTAGGTATGCAAAGTGCTTTGCTTGGCATCTTTTCTTACACTACTCGGTGAACCATTGGTCTCTTACGTTCTGTATTGCTACTCTAAGTTAAATTGTGTAAATGTACCTTTGGATTTACCCAACTCTTTCCAAGACCCTCTGTTTATTCCATTTTTACTTATGAAAAGCGATAAGAAGTATTCATGAGAGACATTTTAAAGATGAAGACAGTTTCAGAGAAGATGTAAAAGGTGTTACAGTTGTTAAATATGACCAAATGTTAATGGTGAAACAATTGGCAAGTAGTACAGTCGAAAAACAAGTTGTGACTTTTGGAGTGTAATGGAAATGCATTGTCTGTGATTTCTGTTTGTCCAGGAGTAATATTTTGCAAGTTAATTCTATTGCTTGAACTGGTGTTAGAAAATATTAATTTTGTTAATAATGTGTTCATGTGAAATTCCACTGTCCCAAGATTTTAGCAATATGTTAAAATAAGGCATTAGTTATCAGTAACAATGTAATTTCATTTTGAAAGGGTAACTTCATCACCTGCAGGAAAATTGTACATCCTTCAGCTACAGTATAAGATGCCAAACAGCCTTTCAGTGTAGAGATAGTAGGAACTGCGGATGCTGGAGAATCCGAGACAACAAGGTGCAGGGCTGGATGAACACAGCAGGCCAAGCAGCATCATAGGAGCAGAGAGGCTGACGTTTCGGGCCTAGACCCTTCATCAGAAAAGGGGGAGGGGAAGGGGGTTCTGAAATAAATAGGGAGAGAGTGGGAGGCGGATAGAAGATGGATAGAGGAGAGGATAGGTGGAGAGGAAACAAACAGGTCGAAGAGGCGGGGATGGAGCCAGTAAAGGTGAGTGTAGGTAGGGAGTTAGGAAGGGGATAGGTCAGTCCAGGGAGGACGGACAGGTCAAGGGGGCGGGATGAGGTTGGTCGGTAGGAGATGGAGGTGCGGCTTGAGGTGGGAGGAGGGGATAGGTGGGAGGAAGAACAGGTTAGGGAGGCAG